TACCATTTAAATGATTTAATTGAAAACGCAATGTTACAGGGCATTTAACCTGTTAACAGATTAGGCTTTTCTGTTTTGTTTCTTTAGGGTTTTGTAAGTTGAGCTGAGGAAAGAGTGCCTTATGTAAAAAATGTTTTGTAACATCTGTTTGTACTTTACAAGTTTGTTTTGTTTTGGTTTTTAGGGTTTTTGTTTTTTTGTTTTTGGGGGGGATTTTTGGATAATGAGTGAGCTCTACTGGAAGCTACTTGGAGAGCTTTCTTGGGATATTTATGACCTGTGTATCTTTTAGGGTCCATAAACAAGCAAAAACCCTATAATCAAGTTTAAAACTCAGTAGGTTAGCCTGGAAATTTCTTAGTTTTTTGGGATAAGTTTTTCCCTGTCTCTTAGATCATCATCTAGACACTTATCTGCCATCCAATGAGACCAGGCAAGACTAAGGAAATGAGGAAGTAGACCTTGGAAAGGAACAGGGCTATAAGTGAGGAGATCAGTACTCGTTACATAAATTAACTTTGACCTTAGTTGGATATTGTGCATCTAGTCAAGTAATGGAGTATTTTCATTCTAAGTGAAACTTTGCAGACTCCTAACTTTCCTTTTTCACTTGGTACTTTGAAAACTAAAAGCAGTAGAAACATCTTTTTTTCCTTTAAATTTTTTTTGAAGGGGAGGTAATTAGTTTTATTTGTTTATTTTAATGGCCGTACTGGGGCTTGAACCCAGGACCTCCTGCATGCTAAGTATATGCTTTACCGCTGAGCTGTCCCCTCCCCCCAGAAACATCTTGATTGTTAAAATTCCCCACAGCTGCTTTTCTCATTGTGTTGTCACCACTTCAAACTAAAACATCTGAACATTTTTACACTCTGCGCTTATCTCTTAAGCCTGAAGCGAGAGAGAAAACCCAAGATTTTGTTAAGTATTCTTCCTTTGAATTAACATTTTAAGATTTGGTTTTGTTCTCTTTACTCTGCTGCCTTCTTTTGTCTTCAGTCTCATTAAGTCATGGCAGTCTTTTCTGAAAGGGAGATTTACCTTCCCTGAATATTGAAAAAGGCCCTCTCACTTGCAGTCGACTCGACAAATATTTGAGCGCCTTCTCTGTGCCAACTCCTGTTGTAGGTGTGGAATTACAGCTCAACCAAGATAGAGTCCCTGCCCTCGTGCAGTTTATGATTTAGAAGGGGAGACAACATAAGAAAACAATGATTAAATGTCATAGGGGAGAAAGACAAGTGCGGTGACAAATATAAAGCAGTGGAAGAGGATAGAGAAGGATGTGCTTTTGTTTTAAATAGGGCGATCGGAGGAGGCCACTGTGAAGAAGGGAGGGTTGGGCAGGAGCCTGAATGCAGTGAGCCTGTCACGTTCACACCCCCCCCCTCCCCCGTTGCTCATCTGATGTGGCGGCTCATCTTAAGCAGGTGAAGCACAGACGGGAGAACCACTGGTGAGGAGGAAACTGGGCTCCTGCCGGGAAACGCAGTGCCCCTGGGGTGAGGAAAGTGGAGGCGGAGACTAGCATTGGACCAGGGAGTAGATATACAGGAGAGCCTGATTAGAACATGTTGGCTTTGGGTAATGACTTCACAGGAATTATTGAACAGTTAATTTAGAAAAACGATGTGACAGAAGAAACTTTCTGTTTCTAGGATATTTGGAAAGGGAGCCAAAGAGAAAGGAAAGAAGCCTATCCCCTCAACAAATGCTTAGAGCGCCAGGTATGGTGCTAGGTACCTAGTCCTTGCTCTCAAGGTGCTCGCAGTTTGTTGGAGTAAGTCAAAGGTCAGAGACAAATTGAGCTGGCTTTGTAGTCTGGCCTGGGGCTGGTTTGTCCAAAATGATCCCTATATGCTAATCTTGTCTCTCTCTTTTGGTTTTCTTATTTATAAAATGATGACCTGATAGGGTTATTGTGGAGATTCGGTTAATAAAACATCCAGGACAGCGCTGGATTCATAGTGAACACCCTGTGAATTTTAGGGAGGAGCGGTAGTGTGACAGTGGCAGACGCTAGGGAAGTGTTTTGGGCGGGACCTGAAATTGACAAGAGCACGCTGGCAGTGTATGTAATTGTCCTTCTCCGTAGGTCTGTGAGGAACTTGCATGTTTTCTTCATTTTCAAGATTTCTGTCCATATGTGATTGATGTCATCCAAGAGCATGTACACAAGAGTGGAACTTTTGGTCTGATTTTTTAAGAATCTTTGTGCTTATTTTGTTGTTTTTTTCCTATTGAAACGTAGTTGATTTACAATGTTAGTTTCAGATGTACAGCATAGTGATTCAGTTATACATACACATATATATTTTTTCTTTTCAAATTCTTTTCCATCATGTTATTACAAGAAACTGAATATAGTTCCCTGTGCTGTACAGTAAGTCCTTGTTGTTTACCTATTTTATGTATAGTAAATTTATAGTATATATATATTTTACATATAGTAAATATTTAGTATATATGTAACTTTATATATATTATACGTAGTGTACCTGTTAATCCCAAACTTCTGATTTCTCTCTCCCCCGCCGTCTCCCCACTACATGTGAAGTTAACCCATGCAGATGCTTGCTAGCACAGTGCCTGCCACCTGGATACTTTGGGCTGATTTTGAACCATCGGTTTTGAAGTCAGCCTCCATTGGTCTTTCATGAACTTTTGGATGTCCACTTCCAGTGCAGAGCCTTGCGGTTGCCAGACTCTCAGGATATATTACATATTAAAGTCGTTGCCTTCAGGAAGCCTGGGTGGGGTTTTAATTACTCTTAACATTATGAAGATTTGTTTATTGCTATGTATTTGCCATCTAGAACGGTGATCATAGGAGGTGCTCAGTAATTTGAAAGAATGAATTAAAAGAATAAAATTGGCAAAATATGAATCTTGTCACGTTTCATGATGATCTTACGGTGGAATTTTTTTCTTACTAAAGTAAAACAAGTGCTTTATAGAAAAATTTGAAATTACTTTTTAAAAAGAAAAATGATCTGTACTGAGCAGTTTTTGAATGCACATGAATATAAAACATGTTTGGGGGAATTATTTAGTATTTAAAAATAGTTTTTTTGGGGACTTATGTACATTCAGAAAAAGTACATGTAAATGTGAGCTTGATGTGGTTTCACAGATGGAATACACCCAACTAATCAGCACCCAAGTGAAAAACAAGAAAACTACCAACACGTCAGATGCTTCCTTTTTTTTTTTCTTTTTGGTTCTTTTTGGGTTTTTTTTTTAGGGGAGGGGTGGATTTTTGATTACAGATTCAATCTCCTGACAGTTATAGGTCGATTCAGATTTTCTATTTCTTTGTGATTCAGTCTTGATAGTTTTTTTAGTTTTTCTAAAAATTTGTGCATCTTATCTAGGTTGTCCAATTTGTTGACGGACAATTGTTCATAGTACTGTCTTCTAATAATTTATTTCTGCAGAATTGGTAATAATGTCTCCATTTTCTTTTTTCTCTTTGAAGGGGGAGGTCATTAGGTTTACTTGACGGAGGTACTGGGGATTGAACCCAGGATCTTGTGCATGCTAAGCACGCGCTCTACCACTTGAGCTATACTCGCCCCCCTTTTTACCCTCCCACACTTAAAAAAATTTTTTTTAATGGGGGAGGTTATTTTAGATTTATTTATTTTAAACAGAAGTACTGGGGATTGAACCCAGAACCTCGTGCATGCTAGGCATGCACTTTACCACTGAGCTATATCCTGCCCACTAGAAGCTGCCTTTATGGTCCCATCTGTCACTGCTAGCAGTGGGAACCACTACCTGGTCCGTGATGGCAGATTTGCCTTCTTTTGTGTTTTATATAAATGAAACCCATGTGCCTAGTTCTTATAGCCTGCTTATCTTAATATGACGTACAACTGCATTTGGTATGTTTAAAACATAATTTTAATGGCTGCATAGTATTCTAGCATACAGATACACCATAATTTAGTGCCTTTTTTGTGCATGAATGTAGTTTTCAGCTTTTCACTATTAATAAATGACACTGATGGATAGAGATCTTTCAGTGTATCACTGATTATTTCTTTACAGTGTGCTCTTTAGCCGTGGAATTGCTGGACAAAAGTTACGCTGTTCTGAGGTATTTGGGTTTTTCTGTTTTTGTGTTTTTTTTAAACTTGAGGGGGAGGTAATTAGATTTGTTTGTTTATTTACTGGAGGTACTGGGGATTGAACCCAGGACCTCATGTTTGCTGAGCACCCACTCTTCCACTGAGCTATACCGTTGCCCCAGTTCTGAGCTATTTGATACAAGTTGGCAAATCTTCCTGCAGAATACGATACCAAATTACTTTGCTATCAGCAGCAGAGGAAAGTAGCCATTTCGTTGAAATAACTATCAAAATTCCAGTCATTCGGGTATTATAGTTTAAGAAGATAATTTGTCCATTTGAATCTAGAATAAATGTGGTATCTCATTGCTCTAATTCAAACTTGATTCCTAGTGAAATTGAAACTTTTTCCATAGGTTTGTTGGCTATTTGCATTTCTTCTTCTGTAAATTATCTTTCTTTTTGCCTCGTGTTTACTTCTTAGTTTTTTTGGTTTTGTTTTTTGTTTTTCTGTTTCCAAACACCAGAGTCAAACTAGGTGCCCTATACTTACGACATTGAGTAGAGGGTGACGAAAGCATAGAGAGCCCAGTCCTGGTGAGGGGACTGGGAAGCCGGGCCGCAGTCTCACAGAGGCAGTTACTGAAAATTCACTTCGGGCTTCATACTGTGTAACACAGCACTCCCAGGTGTTGGGCTGATTTACATTGATGGTACATGGTAGAAGAAACCAGGTTTTTTTGAGATATAATTGACAAATTACAGTAGTTTCAGGTGTACAGCATAATGATTCAAAATACATACGTATTCTAGAGCAGCCACCACAGTATGTATAGTTAACATCCATCCCTGCGTATAGTTACAGACTTTTTTTCCTGTGATGAGAACTTTTAAGATCTCCTCTCGTTAGCAACATTTAAATATACAATACAGTATTCTTGACTGTAGCCACTGTGTTGTACTTACTTGTTTTATAACTGGAAGTTTGTACCTTTTGACCCCTTTCGTCTGTTAGGCCCACTCTCTTCCTCTCACCTCTGGCAAACACCAGTCTGTTCCCTGTATTTGTGAATATAGTGTTTTGTTTTAGATTTTGCATATGAATGAGATCATATGGTATTTGTCTTCATCTGACTTAATTTCACTTAGCATAATACCCTCAAGGTTCATCCATGTTGTTGCAGATGGCAGGATTTCCTTCTTTTTTATGGCAGAATGATATTCCATTGTGTAGAGAACACAACTTTCTTTCTTCATTCACCTGGGCTGCTCCTGTGTCTTGGCTTTTGAAGATAATGCTGCAGTGAACAAGCCCAAGTTCATTATCACACCTTGCATCCCCACTCATCTATCTTTGCTAGGGAGTGTGTTTGTTTCCTTCAGCTAAATACCCAGAAGTGGACTTGCTGGATCATGTGGTAATTCTGCTTTTAGTGTTTTGAGGAACCTCCATACTGTTTTCCACGGTGGCTGAACCAGTTTACATTCCGACCAGCAGTGCACGAGGGTTCCCTTTTCTGCGCATCCTTGCCCAGCACTTGTTGTTTCTGGTCTTTTTGATGATAGCCATTCTAGCAGATGTGAGGTGAAATCTCACTGTGGTTTTGATTTGCATTTCCTGATGATTAGTGGTGTTGAGCACCTTCACACTTACCTGCTGGCCATCTGGATGTCTTCTTTGGAAAGATATCTATCAGATCCTGTGCCCAATTTTAAATCAAATTCTTTGATTTTTTGCTCTTGTTGTATGAGTTCTTTATATGTTTTAGATATTAATCAGATATATGATTTCCAAATGTTTTCTCCTATTCAGTAGGCTGCCTTTTCATTTCATTGATGGTTTTCTTTGCTCTGCAGAAGCTTTTTAGTTTGATGTTGTCTCATTTGTTTATTTTTGCTTTTGTTGCCTTTGCGTTTAGTGTCAAATCCAAACAATCATCGCCAAGACTGATGTCAGGGAGCTTACTGCCTGTGTTTTCTTATAGAAGTTTTATGGTGTCAGGTCTTACATTCAAGTTTTTAATCCATTTTGAGATGATTTTTGGGTGTGGCGTAAGTTAGTGGTCCACTTTCATTCATGTTTAGCACGTCCTTGCCTAGTTTTCCCAACACCATTTGAGTCTGTCCTTTCCCCCATTGAATGTTCTTGGTTCGTTTGTTGTAAGTGAATTGACCATACATGCATGGGTTTATTTCTGGGCTCTCTATCCTGTTCCATTTATCTGTGTATCTGTTTTAATGTCAATGCAGTACTACCGTAGCTTTGTACTGTAGTTTGAAACCAGGAAGCCTGTGCCTCCAGCTTTGTGCTGCTTTTTCTAGTTTATTTTGGCTGTTTGAGGTTTTTGTGGTTCCATACAAATCTTAGGATTATCTGTTCTATTTTTGTGAAAAATGTCATTGGAATTTTGATTAGAATTGCATTGAATCTGTAGGTTGCTTTGGGTAGTTTGGACATTTCAACAATATTAATTCTTCCAACCCATGACCATAGAATACCTTTCCATTTACTTTCATCTTCGTTTTCTTTCATCGATGTGTTATAGTTTTCAGTGTACAGACCTTTTACCTCCTTGGTTAAATTTATCCCAGGGTATTTTATTCTTTTTGATACAGTTGAAATTGGAATTGTTTTCTTAATTTCTCTTCCTGATCATTTGCTATTGTATAAAATTTTGTATCCTGTAACTTTACCAAAAGTGTTTATTCGTTCTAGCAGTTTTTTGGTTGAGTCTTTTAGAAACCCTCTTTTCCATATATCTGGAAGTAGAAGTTCTCTAAAAGGCCATAATCTGCCGTGTACCTCTCTTCTGCAAGAAAAAGAAACACATGTAAAGTAAAGCAGTTCAACAGAAGCAGCTTAGACATGGATTAGAAGCAGAGAGGATTGACAGTGGCAGAGAGGAGGAATAAGATCAAAAAGTACTTTACAGCTGTAATCCATGAGGTTTTCACGTACCACGTGGGTATCTTCATATCCACTCGTTTATTTTTAGAAGAATCTTTGGAGATATGGAGAAGTCTGGGAGAAACCATTAGGGTACCCTTATAGGTCCTGGTGAAAGATACTCTTGAGCAGAAGCTGTGGCTGGAATTAAGGATGAGAGAGAGTGATTGGAGACATGTTTAAGACGATCTTGTCATCAGGAGGCGGTTAAAATATGTCTTATGTAATCCATCCCTTAAAGATTTATCTTGATTACCCATCACAAATAAGATGGTGATGTTTGGCATTTAAAGGGATGTTTCAGTTATTTTGAAATTTTACTTTTGTGCAACAACCTTGTTTTCTTGCAGTGTCAGATAAATGAGGCATTTAGGATACATACAGTGTTTGCTCTTCTAATCTTTGAAACCTTATTCTTTGGAGAAGACATTTTGAAACAGATGAAATAAAGACTTTTTCTTGGTATCAGTTTTCTCTGATTAGGAAACTGAGGCACAAGGATTTAAATAACTTCTTACTGATATTATGCAGCGTGTTGGCTTTAGAATCCATGTCAGGTGTGTCTGGTTACTGCGTTTGCCTCGCTTCTGTCAATAAAACATGCTTCCTACTAATATGTCTCTGAAAAAGTTGGGGAGCAGTGGAATGAGTTATCACTGCCAGTTTTACATAAGCATTGAAATTATTCTCCCTTGAAGAAATAATCAACGTGCTTTTGTTGTCTTTTACCTGAGTACCTAGATCCTATGGTGTATGAAAACATCGCATTGAGTATAGTAAAGACCTCTGGCCTTCAGTAAGTTATTTTTGGAAACATTTTGGAGGAGTTTCCACCCCTGGAGAGAGAGATGAAATGGGGTCCGTAATCAGAGCTATATATAAGCTTGTAGCTCTTCAGCTTTGACACTGGTGATGAAAAATAGGAAAAGAGTATCTTTCCCTCTGTCTTTTTCTAAGGGCAAATTTTAAAAATCTAATCCTGCCCATTAAATAAGACAGTAAAGAAAACGAGTTATAAAAATGACAGCAAAAAAGACTTGTCACTTGATTTTTTTTTAAACTAGAAATGTTTTTCCCCTCCTTCATTCTTTAGAATATTTAAGTGATAAATGTTTACTGGCTGTAGAATTTATTGACATAAATAAGCATTCTGATTCTTTCTAGTAGTCCTTCAGTTTCACTTCCTGAACTTAATAACTGATATTAATATGGGACTTCACCGTCGAAAACACATTGATTGTTGCTGTTAGTGGTTGTTGAATGCCTCCTATTTGCCTGGCACCAAACCAGTACCTTTATACACATTATCTTATTTAATTTTTACAACTATGAGAAGTATTATTGTACCCATTTCTATTTAAGGAAACTGAGGCTCAAAAAGTTAAATAAAGAGCCGGGATTCTGACTACAGTCTAATTGACTCTTACTACCTACTGTTGTATGGTTTATGTCACATTGACTTTCCAAACTGATCCTTCTCAGACACACCTTATTTGCTTTGAAGAATTTACATACTTAACGTGAGCATGGATGCATACTTAGGTGTGGAAGCAAAAAGACTCTACACCAAAATGTAGAAAATGGAAAAAAAAATTTTTTTGTATTTAGTTGTATTTTCTGCAAACATGAACATAGGTTCATATTATAATAAACATTTTTATGTTACATATTGAACTCAATATTCATTGAGACATGACACTTCTGATTTATTGTTGTTCATTTCTAGATCAACTGACCTTACTTCCTCAGTGGAAATCGAGTCACTATGATGTGGTGGTTGGCGTGCTGTCTGCTCGCAATAACCATGAACTTCGCAACGTTATAAGAAGCACGTGGCTGAAGCACTCACTACAGCATCCAGCGCTGAGCCAGCGGTAGGTTTCCTGATTTCACACCCTGCCTGATGTGCTGAATAAGTGTCCCGAAAAACCTCTTCTTGCTTAGTCCGAGATGTTAATTCAGATATGTGGCCTCTTTTCCTGGGAGAAGTGGCTATTTTGTTTTGTTTTTCCTCCATATAGTGGGGCCCAAAAAGTCAATTTAACCAAGGCTTGAAGCTGAAAGATATTTGGAGAAGAATATGTTCATTGGTTAACATACCTCATTTGAAAAATAATTTTCAGGAGGGGGGCCGCGGTAATTAGGTTTATTTACTTATTTTTGTGGAGGTGCTGGCGATCGAACGCAGGATGCTAAGCACGCACTCTACCAGTTGAGCTATACCCACCTAGCATACCTTGTTTTTATAAATACCTGGTTTGGTTTGTTTTTGTTTTTTGGCTTTTTGGTTTTTTTCCTTTGATTTAGATTAACAATTCTTTAAAAGTCTTTCTCTGTTAGACACGTGTGTGTCTATATGCTTTTGACTAACTTTACAGAGATACACCTGGACTGCCTTCAGTCCTGTAGTGCCGGGTGGTTGTGTGGTCTGCGGTTTGTGTAGTCTGCCCTGCTCTTCTTCCTGAGCGCCCTTCCAGGCCCGAGCCTTGGTCGCAAGTCACACGTTGACGTTAGGTGACTCCGAGATCAGTAGCCCAAGGCCTTAGTCTTCTCAGGGAAGCCAGCCTCTGAAGATGATGTAGTGAAGGCTGGTGGCAAAGTGTGGAGGTTTGGGCTTCTAGTTATGTGACGGTAGCTCTCTGCTAGTGTGAAGTCACTGATATGCAGTGAAGGCCCTGAGGGTGGCATTAAACCTGCACATTTGTGACTGAGTAGCACTACAAGGGAATTGCAGTTGTGAATTTTCTTGTCACCAGTAGTGAACATTTATACATTTCCTGTCTAGCTCAGAGCAGCTTCCATTCCTCTTCAAGATGGGTTTCTCTAGTTCATGATTGCAGTGAGAACAGAAGCCACTGCCCAGCACGTGAAAGGACTGAGAATCATCACTCCTGCCAGAACCACCTGGAAAACCTGCACTTCCTGCAGTCTCTCCCGGTGCAGCAAATAATGACCCCTCTCTCCCAGGTGCTCAGACCAGAAACCTTGGTGTTTTGTTGCGAATGGAGGAGGAAGTCCCCCTTGTGGGGTCTTCATGGATCATTCCACCAGGGCAATGAAAACTACCCTGGGAGAGGGTCCTGAGAGGGCGGCAGAGTGCCACACGATGGGGAGCGTCCAGGGAACGGGCTCAGCAGGCAGGTGGGGCCCCAAGAGAGTGAGGACCGCGGGCAGGTGCCTTTATTTGAGGTCAGGGTGGAAAGTACAAGCAGAAAGCGTGAGGGCATTTCTTTGTTGGGCTTGGCTGTCACTGGGTCACTCCCAGGGCGGGGCAAGGAGGCAGGGCCCAGCCTTGTCCCCAGTGCACCCAGTCATCTGGAGAGGATGCTCACAGGTCCGGGTGTTGAGGCATCAGGAAAATACAAGGTTTTAAAATTTTACAAACTCTGTTACCTCATTCTTCTTTGTCTCACATGCCACATCCAGTCCATTGACGTATTTTCTTGCTGCTGCCTGTAGATCATATCCAGAGTCCAACTTCTCACCACCATTACCACTACTGTCAGAACCGCTGTCCTGATCTGGGCCACCGTTACCTCTCACCTAGATCACTGCAGAAGCCTCTCGGTCTGAATTTCCTGCTTCCACCCTTGATCCCTTATGTTTCATTTTCTGTACAGTAGCCAGAGTGGTCCTTTTAAAGTGAGGCTAATTATGTCAGTTTTCCGCTTACACCCCTCCGCTGACTTCTCTTCTTGCTCAGAGTGAAATCTCAAGTCTTCACTGTGGTCTGTGACCTCATCTACATCTATGTCCCCTGCACTGGCCACCGTGCGGTGCCTCAGTATACTAAATGTGCTCCTGCCCCAGGGCCTTCGCACTTGCTGTTCCTCCTCCCTGTCCCACTCTTCCACTGTGTGTCCGTGTGGCTCACTTCTTCACGTTCCTCAGGTCTCTGCTTGGATACCACCTTAGCAGGCAGCACCATTAATATTAAACAGTACCATTCCAACCTTGTCCTCCCTCACTTGGCTTTATTTTTCTCTATAATACTTATCACTGACTAGCATGTTTATTATATTTAGTTGTATGTTTATAAATTGTTTGTCTTTCCCTAGTGGAATATGTGTTATGAGCCTAGGGGCTTCAATTTTTTTCATTGATGTATTTCCAGCGCCTAAAACCCAACTTGGCACAGAGTAAGGTACTCAGCAACTATTAAGGGAATGACTCGGAGCTAAATATAATGAGGAAAATGGACATTTCAGGCACTCACCAGTAATTTATGTATTATCAAAGTATTTTCTTTAAATTTAGTAAGCTTGGTGATTTGTTTTATAAAAATGGTGGGATGTTTGTATAGAAACAGATATTAGCCAAAAACTTCTTCCTGGGGCAGAGTGATTTTGTGGACCTAGTAAGACTATTTAAGGTAACTAAAAAAAATTTTGATAAATATGTGCAATAATTTAATTAACAGATTTATTCAAGGCTGTTTATACTTTTATTCTAAATGCTGGTTGTTTATAAAAGGTGTTCTGCCTTAATTGGTCATTAGTGAAAAGGAAGTGTGCATTTCTATGCTTATGGCTTACTTTCAAATCTTGCATTTCACTGAAGGAGCCAGATTCTACATATATTTCAAAGACTTTATTTAATTAGAAGCCTTTGTACTGAGGCTGTAAGTTGCCAGTTTCACAAGGAGTTATTAAGAGTGCTGTGTATACAGGTAGTGTGCTGTGTGTAGTGGATACACAGGTACAGGATGGGCTGAGTCTGCATGGGGGCTGGGAGTTGAGAAGAAGGAAATGGGTGTAGCAGTGTAATAAGATGTTCTCTGTGCTGTGGTAGAATCAGGTGTGAAATAGCCTGGAGTGTTTAGGAGACTCCACACAGTCCTGTGTGGCTGGAGTGCAGAGCTCAGGGCGAGGGTGGAGAGCCTGAGGGAAGGGGAGAGGGGCAGAGAGGGAGGCTGTCACCAAGGGAAGGCGGGAGGGCTGATACCCGGCGTGGCGCTGGTGCCCAGGCCGGGCAGGGGGTGAGCCTGTGCAGATGGGGGCTGCTGAGGGGCTGGGCTAAAGCCGCGACCTTTTAAGAAGTAACATAATTGAATGTAGAAGGAGGAGGCGGATTTGAGGGTGGTTGCCAGCTTCAAACATGAGAGAAAAAGCAGGCTTCACGGGGAGGGAGCCATATGCAGTCCAAGGTGCCTGCCTGCGGCGGTGCGCTGGGGATGCTTGGCAGCCGGCTCTCTAAAGAGAAGGCATGCTCACCCGTGCGTGCGTGTTTCCTGCGCATCTTAGCGCTGTGAAGGCGGCGCAGCGCGTGGTGGAGCCATAATCACACGTCATACTCCTCCTTACAGAGTCCCACATAGCCGACCGATTCTTAGGCTGCTTCCACTGCACTGGAGCCTCCTCACGGCTGCAGCTGACAGCTGCAGCTCTGACACGACTGTTCCCTGTAAGGTAAAGGGTAAGACTGAAGTGACAACTTAGCTGTGTGACAGGACTTTACTCTCAGTGAGGAAGTGAGTGACGTCTTTGCTGAATCAGATAATAGGTTTTGAACAATGGAAGAGTATTTCCTCAATTTTTCATACTCTTCACAATGGAATGGCCACAGGCAGGTCGCGTTTTTTTTAAAGTTACCATTTTAATCATTTTCCAGTGTACAGTAAGTACATTTGCAGTATTGTACAGTCATCACCGCCATCCATTTCCAGAAATTTTTCATCATCCCAAACTGAAAATCTTTGCCCATTAAACAATAACCCCCACTGCCCCCTTCTGTCACCCCTGGTAACTTCAGTTCTACTTTCTGTCTATGAATCTGCGTATTCTGGGTACCTCCTCTAAGCGGTTCATAGGATATTTGTTTTTGTTTTTTTTAACTTTTTTTGAGTTATAGTCATTTTACAATGTTGTGTCAAATTCCAGTGTAGAGCTCACTTTTTCAGTTATACATGCACATATATATATTCATTGTCACATTTCTTTTGCTGTGAGCTGCAAGATCTTG